AAGAAAGGTTTCCAAATGAAGCCCGTGGATGGATTTTGGTTCGACGTCGAGCTGAGGAACCCGGCCGTTCCCGTATACAGGGTGTCCCAAAAGTCGGGGAGGAGCCGGAAATGGGGGGTAGCTGAGACGATTCTGAACAACAATTTCCTTTGCAAAAATGTCGGATGGGGCTTCGTTAAGGAGATATTAAGAGAAAACCCCGACCAATCAGAGCGCGCGTAGACCGTTCGATCGGCCGCGGTAGCGAAGGCTACGCGCTAGGTGGCAGCGTCAATGTCCTTCGATGCACGTCGAGTCACTTGTCGCGTACAAGTGCGGCCGCCAGCGCGTAGCCTTCGCTCCCCGACTTTTGGGACACCCTGTATGTTAATTCTATGGGTGATAGCTACACCGCCAGCTAAGCATTACAATTTATATCGTTGCTTCGGTACGAATTTGCGATTAACAATTACATTGAGCAATTTACTTTGTGGTTCTCTTTTCTTTGACCAGTTTTGAGTTATTGATATCGTTAAACGTTGATCGAGCAATTAACAAAAAAATCTTAACAAAAAGAAATATAAAAATATTTATGTAGTTTAGCTTTGTATGAATTAAAAAAATGATTATAAGTAACGTTCATTACTAGTTGTATTAATGTATCTGTTCGGTAAACTGAATGAATGTAACTAGATAAATGAATGTAAAGGTTGTTTAATAAATGTCTGTGGTGAAGATTCTGCATAATCATCCAGTACTCATATATAGCAGCTACTATTTTGCAGTCGAGACGTAACGCCAATTTTGTATGCAAATGAAATTCCTGGAATGTGAAACCATGTGTAAACATTAGATTTACCGACACTTCATTTGTATCTGATTCTATTACGACCTTAGAGTCATCTTCTCAATTGAATGCACAAATATTTCACGTGGCAGTAGATTGAATAATACATGAAACAATTTTGCAAAACGTTTCAACAGTTCATTCTTTTTTCTTTTTATTATAAACATATGGAAAAACTAATGGAATATAATTTCCTAGAGTATTGAATTTAAACGAAAAGTATGCATCTATAGGGTGTCACTTAGGTACCTAAAGTATTTCCGTTGTTTGTAACGATATGAAGATTCGCCACGAGAGGAAAATATTTACTTTGGATGTGAGATACTGTATCTTATCTACATAAAATATGTCGTGTCATCCAAACTGCGTAGCGTGTATTTTATTGATGATACTATTTATATTCTTAGATTCATGTACATTCTCACACATTTCTCCACAATCTTCTATGAAAGAAACTGTGCATAGAAGTTTGAAATCGATCATTTGAGCGATAGGTTTTATGTTAATTAAACACGTTTTAGAATGATACTAGAAAATAAGTTAAATAACGTATCTGAAATGGCAACAAACCTTTTACAACGTTTCTTTTTAATTCCTAGCCCGTTATTTTGGAAGAGAATAATTCCTCTGCACGTCGGCGTCGTATCACGATTACTATTTTACGTTAGAATAATCATCTCGTGTACCTTTCTATTATATTTTACATTTCGTATGTCGAAGCGTATCAAAGGCCAGGTTTCCGTTGTAACCGGCCAACGTGTTTCACATGGACTGTAAAGGCAACTTCGTAATCTGACTACGCGCTCCATTATCCCGCGTTCAGCCGGCTCGTGTGTGCCCGTTGGAAATCAGTCGCTGTCCACCTTCGGATACGTGCCTAAATCAATCCGGTCGGGATTATGCGTTGTGTTTAGAATATGCTGTTTACGGTTCCGACCGTTCCCTTGGTTCAAACTTCTCAGTGTTGCGGTATTATATTTCCAGAGGATTCTGTTTGTCTCAGCGTTGAACATTTCGATAACTATGTCGCGGTGAAATAAAAATTGTCGTCGAAGGTGAGTTTAATTTCGGGTGCAATGGAAGTGTGCGACGTAATTGGACAAAAATATAGCACACATATGCCATCATTAGATTTCTAATGAATATACAAAGTCCTTAGATATACAGTACTACGCAAAAGCCTTAGGCCACCGTGTGAAGATACGTTACACTTAAATAAATCTATGTTAATGAAATATTTAGGTGTAGGAATTAATTCTGTCCCTTTATATTCGATCATTTGTAACTGTAGTTTAAGTAGAAATATTTACGCGTCATTTTGCTGAAGTACCAACCTTCTAACTTCTCGACTTGATCTCGATTAGAATGAATTCATATATATATTGCATAACCTAAATATATATTATATTTAACTTTATATTCAATAATTAATAATTGTAGTTTAAGTAGAAATATGTAATCGTCATTTTATTATTATATATTAAATTACGAACCTTCTGTGTCCCCGACGTGGTGTCTAATTACCAATCACAAATGTTTACTATTTCGAAATTAGGAAAGTGTTTCATTTTATGAATTTTAATGGATTATATTTTCAGAATAATTATAACTTATTTCGTGAAGTTATTTAATAAATACGTAAGGTACAAATTGAAATGTAAATTATAACATTTCGACTAGAGATTACAATTTCACTTTTCTTTGATTCAATCAAGTAACAGGTCACGTAATCTAAAATTTTCTGCTCTTGCTTCATCCCATTTATTGTCCTTGGTGAACAATCAACGCAAGTCTCGGTCTCCGTTCGAAATAGAAATTGTTATCTTCGCCGCTTACAAGTGACTTGATTGTTCCGAGGCACTTGAACGCGGGAATTACTTATCCAAATTGATTGTTTAATTAGAACGTCATTCACTAATATTCTTGTAAATATTTTGCATGTATGGATATGTGTAGGTTCGCTATGCTTTGATTAGATTTATATTTAACAGTATCTTTCCAATATTTTATTTATAACGAAAGTACACACGATTACAATGAAACGTAAGAGGTATATTTTGTTTTGTTTTAAAAAAATAAAATCCTGAAGTCCATTTTGTAAAACCTTCTAGTTTTTAATAATTTCGTATTTGTTTGATTCTATATAATTTTATTCATTTTATTCATTCCCTGACTATTTTGCATCAAGCTGGAAATCGTAACAGACTTTTTTGAGTGTCGCAGTAAAACATCCGCCAAATACTAGGTAGAAATTAACCGGATAATCATTGACGTCGACACGATTAATAATTTCACTATTTATAGACCGGGAAGATAATTAGTCACGGTTTTTGCACAAGGTGTGCCATGTGATTAAAATGATTCGACCTTACTATTTCAATGGAGACAGAAAAGTATGATAAGAGGACAAGTTCAATGGAATAATAAGATCTGGGTTAAATCGTAAATTTATCTCCCCTTGGTTTTCATTTTTTTACAAGTGCAGTAATGGATTTGCAAGCTATATCTACGCTTATCTCATTAAATGACATTGTATGTTTTTTATTTTAAGATAAATTAAAATTAAAATTTATTAATTTAAAAAATAAACGTGTAACACTGTTTATAAATACAGATTATAATTTTATAAATTACACGTATGAAATTATAAATTACAAGTGTAATTTTAAATTGTTATTGTAGAATTGACAAACAATTGGGCTCCTTAATTTTTTAAATTTATAACTTTTGCTGATACGTTTATTATAACCGAGAATAAAAATATTTTATAAGCAACGCAGTACAAAAAATTTGTTTAAATTTCAGTTCCTACGCATCACGTGTTGAAATTTCATGCAAATATTTTAATTAGTCACACCATGTCTTAGGTTCGTACGATTTCGTTTCGTTTAAATAAATTGTACGGGAAACTGCATGGGCCCGTAATCCATGGAATTCCGAATTTGTACACGGGCTTGCGCTGAAATGAATGTAAATTCTATTGTACGTAAAATAAGTTTGAAACTGTGTCGGTTGAATCTTAATTCCGTAATTCCTTGCAACGTCACATCGCAAAATTTCAGTTTAGGAGTTGCCGTAGAGCCCATTTATAACCGTTTCAATTTGTTTCAATTATTGTCATGATTTATTTCAATATAATTAAGTCGTTTAATACATCATTAGATCGAAGTGGTCAAGAATTTTGAATATAGAGAAAAAAATCGAAACTTCAGATAAAAATTTTTTAAATTGCAAAAGGAGATGAATATTACACCAATCTAAACGAATAAATATTTTCAACAAGTATTGAACGTGTTTCTGAAAATGTTCAGGAACTATGTTGAAGAAAATAAATCGCTTCAATTGAATTCGCGTTTAATTACCGAAACGAAGTAATTATTTGTTCCCGATTTTTCGTAATGTTGCAGTTTTGAAATATGTATTTTCTGAACGATAGAACACGTTAAATTCCTATGCTAATGGTATTGTTTTTGTTAGAGATGGGAAAATTATTTGAGATTGTACAACAGATAAAGAAACGAGGTGAATAGTGCAATTTTTAAATACAATTGCGTTGTTGAAGTTACGCAACCGTGTCTGTGAGCTGCTACATAAACCCTTCGTGGCAGGAAACATTTTACCTTAACAAAGAACCGGTTTTGCGTTCCATTGTTTGTCCTCACTTTTGGATCAGTGAATAAGCCGTCTACAGAGAATCAATCAAGCAATTCGTCATTGTTTGACATTTGTTATGTCACACGTGTCACATTGATTGTGAGTATAGTGCATTGGCAGTGATGGAATATTTTGTAAGTCACAATATCGAATATTTATGCAAAATTACGATATGAATATTTATGAAAATTTTGCAAAATTTATACAACTAATTGCCACAAAAAATAAAAAAATAATTATAAATCACAGATGTGTACAATTAATTATCGTGAAAAATTAATAGGTTTCAAAATAATTTAAAATAAATTATGATCTAAACTCGACGTGACATCAACGTCGAAATTATTATCATGTACCGAGGAGAGGACTTCGTATCGTGTTACGTAATAGCATGCGAGCTCGCGTGACTTGATATATCCAGCAGTTTGTTTTCTGATTCCTCCGCCTCGTATAGTGATTAAAGTGCTGGAAGAGTATTGCAGTAGTGGCACACCGGTCTCTAAACAAGGAGAAAAACCAACCCACATCAACAACAACATCATCCAAAGAAGTCCCATCATGGGTCTGCCAATAATACTAGCCGTCGCTGTTACAATTCTGGGCCTCTATTATTACTTCACCAAAGAGCAGAACCCTTTCGAGAAACACGGCTTGCCCTACAAACAATCAATCCCTCTACTGGGCAGCTCTTGGTCGGCCATGCTCCACCTCAAACCATTCGCAACGATGGTCCAAGACATCTACGACATGGCAGCCGAGGCAAGATACGTCGGTTTTTATCATCGGATGGCGCCAGTCGTCATGCTTCGGGATCCAGAGCTTATCAAATCGGTGGCCATCAAGAATTTCGATCATTTCCCCGATCATCGGACCTTCACGAGTGGAGAACCCGACCCCTTCTTCAGCAGCAATCTATTATTACTTCGAGGCGACAGGTGGAAGGAAGTCAGGTCACTTCTGACCCCTGCCTTCACTTCTAGCAAGTTGAAGGCTATGTTTGTCCTCATGTCCGAGTGTGCCACAAACATTGGACAGTTTCTCGCTAGCCTACCGGCTGACCAAAGGACGATCGAGATGAAGGACGTCTTCACCAGGTACACCAACGACGTGTTCGCCAGCTGCGCTTTCGGCATCAACGTGGACTCCATGATCGATCGCGAGAACAAGTTCTATGCGTATGGCAGGGAGGCTTTGGATATTCACAGCATCGGAATTCATAAGATCGTTATGCTGTATGTCTTCCCAAGGCTAGCTAAGCGGCTGGGTATACGGTTCATAAGGAAAGAGGTGTTGGAGTTCTTCGAAAGTGTCGTGTCAGCGAATATCGCTGCTCGAGACGAGACAGGTATCTTTAGGCCTGATTTGATTCAATTGATGATGGAGACTAGGGGAAAACTGGGTCCTGGCAAGGAGTTGACGATAGAAGACATGACCTCTCAAGCTTTCGCTTTCTTCTTTGGTGGTTTCGAGACGACTTCGAGCTTGTTGTGTTTCGCTGTTCACGAGTTAGCAGTGAATCGTGGGATTCAAGAGAGATTACAGAGGGAAATAGACCAGGTGATGTGTGATTCTAATGGAGAAGTCACTTATGAAATGGTTAATGGGATGAAATATCTGGATGCTGTGGTTAACGAAGCGCTGAGGTTGTATCCGGTTATACCCATCACTGACAGACAGTGCGTTAAAGAGATCGAATTACCTCCAGCCACGCCAGGGACGAAGCCTTTTCTCATGAAAGAGGGTTCGTATCTTTGGTTACCGATTTACGCGATTCAGAGAGATCCTAAGTACTTCGATCAGCCGGAGAAATTCGATCCTAGTCGATTTTTGGATAGACAGGGCAATATTCTTCATTCTGGAGCGTATCTGCCTTTTGGGATGGGGCCGAGAATTTGTATCGGTTATCGATTCGCTCTTGTGGAAGCCAAAGTTGGCTTGTTTCATATCCTCGCCCGTTGCAAGCTGGACGTTTGTAGCGAAACACAGATACCTATGAAGTTGGGGAAAGCAGGAGCGTTCTTGAAGGCTGAAAAAGGATTTTGGCTGCAGGTTCGACCGAGAAATAATCCATTTACCTCGGTAGTTGCTTGAATGGAAATCCAACTGATGGTCTCCTTGATATCTTCGAGATAACAAAATTCTTTTGAGGAGCCTTTTCTAATTAAGTAGCTTGAAACTGATTAGGTAGGATGAAGTATGAAGTTTGTAGGTGTTCCTCGATTGACTCATTTTGTATTTATAAGGATCTGATAAGATAATATTATATTTGTAATTTTTTAAGGAATAATAAAAGATTGAGATCTTGGCTATGTAGTGAATTTAATGATAAATTGAGTCGTTCGTTGCACAAATCGATTAATTCCATAAAACAAAAAGTTGACTATACGAAGTGGTTTGACACTTACATTTAAGATTTTTCAGAAAGCGGTGTTAATCGATTTGTGCAGTAAACGGGTCAATTGTTAGTAGAAAAATTAGTAGTCGGACTTTTAACAGCAACTATAAGAGATGCCGATAAATAGTAAATAAATTTAAGTTTTAGATTCTCATCTGAAGATTGATTAGATTTTAAGCAAAATCGCACAGAACTAAATTTATTCACACTTGCGATTTAGTTTTTCAGTAACAAGATAAGAAACAAACCAGTTGTGATTTAAAGAAAAGTAAAATTCCAAAGGACCTTTTGGAGAAGCCGTTATTAGTCTGGCAGTGAAGCAGTTAAACGGGATCTTCCCGTTTCATTGGTTTCTGCCTTGGCTGATAACTTGCATCATGCAACCTGTTCTGGGGTTTAAAGACCTTCTCCCACCTTGTTCCCGTTAGCACGGTACAAGAAGGCTGGTTGATGCCACGTTCGATCACGGTTACAACGGAGAATAATCACGGCCTTGCATCAGGTGCGTACGCAATACGTCATGTAGAAAGGGATATGGGAGATACAGTTCTTCTCCAGTGGAGATCATTGATTTCACTGCTCAGAAATTTTTCAAGATCTTCAATTATTTTATATTTCTTTTCAATAATTAAAACCACACGTTTTCGCTTACTTGCTATTACGATACTGTTCTCTGCTTCAGACTGAATTGATACGATTACATTTAACCGGCCGAACAAAAGTATTTATTACGTTTAAATACTTACATTGTGTGTAAACATCGCTACGAAACGTTGTAGGGTTAATAGAACATACGGATAACAGAACGTTCGTATATTAGGGTATTCGGATAATAGGGGTACGGATACGGGAGTCTCTACTGTATTATTTTTCGAAGCGACACGTGACTCCAAGGAAGAGGAAATGTTATCAAGTGTGTCATCTTATGACACTGACAGTAAAGCAAAATATAACATTCGACATTAATAAAGTCAACCAGAGTACATGAAGCTAGATAAGATCAGATAAAAACTAGATTGATTTAACCAGCGCAATATATACATGGAGCAAGAAAACGCATCTTTACAGATGTGTAGGTGTACGCGTCATGATATAAAACTCCTGTAAAGCGCTTGCACTGCCGACAGTCGCTCGACGGACAACGACTCAGTAGGTTGCTAATAGGTTGCACGCACAAGTGCATAACAACAACCTGTGACTAATTTTAAAAGTTCCTCTTAAATTACTAGTAAGCGACACAGTGCGAGTAATTCAAAGAAATTAATTCAAAACGAATAAACCATAGAAACAATTAAAAAGATACAAATATCTACCAAACCAGTGTCCCTCATGTGTGTGCATGAACAAATTCTTCAGTGAATCTTCGAAACAAATCCCATAATGGATCCGTGGACAGTGGCTTTAACGTTGGGCGTGGTTGTAGTTACATGGTACTACATTAAAAGGAGCTACAGTTTCTTCAGTGATCGGGGAATCCCGTACCTGAGACCACTTCCATTGCTTGGAAGTCTTTGGAAAGCCGTCTTTCAACGCATACCTTTCGCTGAAGCAATCCTGGAAGTCTACGACCTTCATCCTACCGCGAAATATGTCGGTTTCTACGATTTCCTGACACCTGTGATCACTATTCGCGATATCGAGCTGTTAAAATCCATCACGGTGAAGCACTTCGAGCACTTCCAAGACCATCGAGCCCTCCAGAAAGACAACGCGGATCCCCTGTTCAGCAAGAACCTCTTCACCCTTCGTGGTGAACGCTGGAAAGAAGTGAGAACCATGCTAAGTCCAGCGTTCACCTCCAGCAAGATGAAGGCAATGTTCCATCTGATGATCGAATGCGCTGATCGTTACGGGAATTTCCTAGGCACGTTACCCGAGGGCAAGCGTACACTAGAACTCAAGGACGTTTTCACCAGGTACACCAACGACGTGATCGGTACTTGTGCTTTCGGGGTAGAAGTGGACTCGATGGCAGACAGGAACAACACGTTCTACGTGTACGGTAGGGAGTCCACGAGCTTCGGTAGGATTCAGTCGATAAAATTCTTCGTCGTACGAAGTGCGCCTTTCATAGCGAAGCTATTTGGTATAAGGCTTGTGTCCAGCAAGATCGCGAACTTCTTCAAAGAAATGGTGGCTGACACCATAAAATACAGGGACGAGAATAACGTCGTTCGACCAGACATGATTCAGCTGATGATGGAAACTAGAGGAAAAGTGGGCCCAGGGAAAGAGCTCACTATCGAGGACATGACCGCCCAAGCGTTCATCTTCTTCTTCGGCGGTTTCGAGAGCACCTCGACCTTGATGTGCTTCGCTGCTTACGAGATAGGGGTGAACCCTGAGATCCAAAAGAAACTGCAGGAAGAGATCGACGAAGTTTTGGAGAACTGCAAGGGTGAACCGACGTACGACGCGATCAATGACATGAAATATCTCGATGCTATCATTTACGAGGCCCTGAGAATGTATCCAGTCGTCGTCGCTGCTGACAGAGTCTGCACAAAAGCCTTCGAGCTGCCACCAGCTTTGCCAGGATTGAAGCCACACGTTGTGCAGGAAGGCGATTTTATTTGGATGCCGATCTACGGTGTTCATTACGATCCCGAACACTTCGAGGAGCCGAAGAAGTTCAATCCTGATCGGTTTCTCGACGATCCGAAGAAGGTCGTCAATTCTGGCAGCTTCTTGAGCTTTGGAATTGGTCCGAGGATGTGTATCGGTAACAGGTTCGCCCTTCTGGAGACGAAGGTTCTACTGTTCCAAGTATTCGCTCGTTGTACCTTGAATCCGTGCTCCAAGACTGTTATACCAATGGTGTTGAATAAGAAAGGATTCCAGATGACGTCTCAGAATGGATTTTGGTTCGATGTCGAGCCAAGAAAGAACAGGGTTTCCGTTCTTGTTAATTCGGGGGGCGGCAGCCGAGTCGCCTTTTAGAAATGTTTAGTTTATACTGTTGTATTTACGTGTACTCACGTTTCAAATCCACGTGTGAATAGATGCAAACTGGTAGAACTTCGGTCGTCTGTTGAGCGATTGGTAGAGATGTTATAGATAGAGTAGTCCGATAAGTGAAGTCCCACTGTTAAAAAGAGAAAAAAATACTCAGTACCCTATCTGCCTCTGCGTTTTTATTAATGTGAATGTAAAATATACATGCAATTATTAAAAGTATAAACAATAATCACTTATTATTAATATATATAAATGATTGATTATTTTTATATTATTTAATTTTTGCTGTAAGAGTAATGGTGTTATCTTTAATAATTTCTATAGTGTACATTTATGAAAATAAAAATTGAAATGCATTAAATTTAAAGTGATAAATTAAATATTTTTGAATGGGATTTTGTTTACTATTATATTTTTATAACATCATAAACTGCGGATGTTTGTGCACTTATGACAAATTAATATATTGGGATATGTATGAGAATGTGTGTAAATATAAAAATATATAAAATATCAATAATAATCTACACGTTGTATCGTTCAGAAAATAAGTTTCTTTTTTTAGCTGCAGTAGTGTCGGAGATCCAACTCCTCTACTCTATCTATAATATCTCTTTATATCTCTTCATATTTCTGCGACTTGAAGTTATACTTGGAACATTTAACGAAAATAGTGAACTGACTTCATCATTCTGATTTCTTATTGATTTTCTTTGCTTAAGCATCACGTAAGAAATAATGTTAGGGACTGTGAATGTAATGTGATAAACAGGAGTTTAAGTAACCAGGAAACTTTGTAACTTGGTAATTACATAACAATTAAGGGGATAAGAAGATATTTTTATACGATTATTGAGCGATTAAACTGATCTACGCAAATGAGGTTTAATCACTTCACGCTTGAAAAAATAGTGCCGCGAACAAAATAAGAACATATCATATATTTTTATTATTTTTATTTTGTACGAAATCGAATGAATCACAGCTACTTGTACTTGTGAATGTATTGATTCGATAAACTGATTTATAAATGTATATAATTTATCTTTAATCTCTTCACGCTCTTGGCCACGTATGTGGACGTTTAGTTTTCTATAATTACAATTACTGTCAATAATAAAATGAACAAAAATTTGACAATAACAGAAAAAAAATCGCCCCTGAAGAGGTTAATATATTTCTGCGTTGAAGATTTCAGACATTTAGGCGAGTAAACACATGTAGTTACTAATCATTTTTTTTACAGACGAGAAGTCATGTTGATTTTGTTTGCAAATGAAGTTCTTTGGAGATTGGAACAAGGTAAGCGATTCACAATTTAATTTTTTATTCTTGCTTTAATGATACTCGTTTTAGAATGAAACTTGGAAAAAAACTAAGACAAATAAGACTAATTTCTTTTACTTTTCCTGATCTCGTAATCTATAAACCGAAAAATTTCCTTTGGATTTATGATATTCCCAAATGTCTAAAACGAAAATTTTTCCTTGGCTGATAATTTGCATCATGCAACTTGTTCTGGAGTTTAGGGGCCTTCTCCCACTCTGTTTACATTAGTATGTCACAGGAACGCCGGCTGATGTCACGTTTTAAGAATGTAGTTAATAAAAGGCGTCTTATGAATTCGTAATACTCCATGTAGAGGGGGACATACTGCGTGTGATGGTTCACTTGCGAAGATCATTGATTCCGATACATACTCTAGGAATTGTCAGATTCATTCCAATAGGGATAATTAATTTTAACTGTTCTTATTACTAAAATTACCAGCATTTTATCTTAGTGATAACATTTTCTTATTATATTAAGGTCAACGCGACATATTATTTATCGTGAGAATTTATATATTACTATATACTTTAAGGCGATACCTACTTTCGCGAAAGAAAAAATGTTATCGAGCTTATCATATCATAAGCTGAGAAACGCGCAATTAATTACAGTGGCAAAGAGTCATATAAAATACAAGGGAGTCAACATGACTACGATAAGATTCAAACTCTATCTGTTAGATTATCAATACGCTATCAGTACAATGAACTTATTATTTGTTGCCAAAAATCACCGATCTCAGAACCAGTTTAATAAACAAAGATTAAAAGTATCGATGAAGCAATCTCGGAATCGTTTCATTTCAAGGTATCCCAATTGATACTTCGTTTATAAAGCCGGACTCTGGCGACATATAATTTAAATAGTCTGGAGATAAAAGAGGACCCTGATTTCTATTAGGGTATCACCGTTCTTCTTACAGTCAGTCGAAACTAAGATCTTGTGGAGTAAAGAGCTTCCTCTAACGCCGTGAAATAAAGTTCAGTTTTATCCAATACTATTGATATTAACGCCCAATATACACGGAGAAAGAGAACACGATTCCACGCATGAGTACATACACATACAAGTCACGATATAAAATCTACAAAGTGTTCTCCCTAGAACCAGTCACTCGACAGACAGCGTCGTATGTAGTATGATCGCTAACAAGCTACGTTCACGTGTACAAAACAATTAATACCTCCACTTAGAATCACGTGCTTCCTAACTTACGATTACATTATCTCGAAAATTATCAGGTGCTTAAATACCTTATGTACCTTCTACCTAATTTTATCTTAAGTAGAATCCGGATAAAGTTACAGTCGGCGACCAGTGCAAGTGATTTATTTAACCAACCAATAAATTCCAAATAAACTATTGTCTCGCAAAAGTTACAGTTGATAACTAGTGCACGTGATTCGTTTAACTAACGAATATATTCCAAGGAAACAATTATCTTCCAAATCAACATCTTTCGGTGTGTAGATGAACAAATTCATCAAGTGATTCTCCGAAATAAGCATCATAATGGATCCATGGACAGTGACCCTAGCATCGATCGTCGTTGTGGTGACTTGGTATTATTTAAGAAAGACTTACACTTTTTTTAGCGACCGAGAAATCCCACATCTAACATTCACCATGTCGGGTACACTCCTTTGGAAATCCTTCTTCCAACAAATAACTTTTGCTGATTTGATTTCGCTTATTTACAACGTTCAACCTGACGCGAAGTATGTCGGTTTCTACGATTTGACGACACCTGTGATCGCTATTCGCGACATCGAGCTGATGAAGTCCATCACAGTGAAGCACTTCGAGCACTTCCAAAATCATCGTAACTTGCAGACCGACGACGCAGAACCTCTGTTCAGCAAGAACCTCTTCGCCCTTCGTGACGATCGCTGGAGAGAAGTAAGGACCCTGCTGAGTCCTGCGTTCACGTCTAGCAAGATGAAGGCAATGTTCAATCTGATGAACGAATGCGCCAATCGTTACGGGGACATCCTGTGTACGTTGCCCGAGGGTGAGCGAACTTTAGAGCTCAAGGACGTTTTCACCAGGTACACGAACGACGTGATCGCCACCTGTGCTTTCGGTGTGAAAGTGGACTCGATGGCCGACAGAAACAACAAGTTCTATGTGTACGGCAGGGAGGCTACGAACTTTTCTGGCATATCGAAGTCTTTGAAATTGTTTGCAGTACGACTTACTCCTTTCCTATCGAAGCTATTTGGTATAAAGATGGTAAACCCCGAGATCGCGAACTTTTTCAAAGAAATGGTGGCTGACACCATAAAATACAGAGACGAGAATAACATCGTTCGACCAGACATGATTCAGCTGATGATGGAAACTAGGGGAAAACTGGGCCCAGGGAAAGAGCTCACTATCGACGACATGACCGCCCAAGCGTTTGTCTTCTTCTTCGGCGGTTTCGAGAGCACCTCGACCTTGATGTGCTTCGCTGCTTACGAGGTAGGCGTGAACCCCGAGATCCAGAAGAAACTGCAGGAAGAGATCGACGAAGTTTTGGAGAACTGCAAGGGTGAACCGACCTACGACGCGATCAATGACATGAAATATCTCGATGCTATTGTATATGAGGCGTTAAGGATGTATCCAGTCATTGTGCAATCGGACAGAGTTTGCACAAAACCCTTCGAGCTGGCACCAGCTTTGCCAGGATTGAAGCCATATGTTATCCAGGAAGGGGAATATATTTGGATACCGATCTACGGGGTTCATTACGATCCCGAACACTTCGAGGAGCCGAACAAATTCAATCCTGATCGGTTTTTCGACGATCCAAAGAAGGTCGTCAATTCTGGGACGTTCTTGAGCTTTGGATTTGGGCCAAGGATGTGTATCGGTAACAGATTCGCGCTTCTGGAGACAAAGGTCTTGATGTTTCATATTTTTGCTCGTTGCACTTTCAAGCCGTGCTCCAAGACTATTATACCGATGGTGTTGAGCAAGAAAGGATTTCAAATGACGTCTATGGGTGGATTTTGGTTCGATGTCGAACCAAGGAAGAACAGGGTACCCGTTCTTGTTAAGTCTGGGGGCAAGACTAGCGTCTCCTAGAATTTACTGTTTATATTGTCGCATTTGTATGTACTCGCATTTAAAAAATTTTACTGTGGAATTTTTCTATTTTTTTTTTTAATGCTCGTTTAGAGTTGCATCAACTACTCGTAGTGCCTTAACTTCAGGTAATATAATTAAATCTTGTTAAGGCAAATGGTGTGTTTGAGAATGGTAATAACTTCTCTGGTATTAAAATTGAATAGATCGACGAAAACGAGCCTCGCTTTTCTATTTTTATCGTCGGTTATCCCCAATTCGTGTGACGCAATTCGGCTCCTTGAATTTATAATTAGCGCGAAACTTTATTTATACTGGGAACGGTTCGTGGAATAGTGAGCCTATTTTATCATTCCTATTTCCTTGATGTTTTCCTCTTCCTTTATTTCTTTTCTTTGCTTCAGCATTTTTTAACAAGTGGTAATGTAAGAGAAATAATGTGAAAAATTCTGAATGTAATCTAATTGTGAATAAAAGTATAGATTATAGTAAGTTGTGATTCTCTTCGTTGTATTAGGTAAATGAATGAGAAACATTGTTACGATATACCTAATAATTTTTGTTACAAACAGAATCGGTGATATCTTTGTATAGCTGTCGTGTCGTAAAACTCATTGCGATGAAAATGAGATTTTCGATCAATTATTTTTTCACTTAGGAAGTCGTGCTAATTTTCTGTAGCTAACGAAGTTCTTTTGAAGATTGTTTGAAGAAGTCTGAAGGAACAAGGTAAGCGATGCACAATTTAATTCTTATTTCTAGCTGTAATAATACCCGTTCGGAATGAAACTTGGAAATAAGTTAAGATAAATAACACCAATTTTGTTTACTTATTCTGATCTGGTCATTTTGAAAGAGTAAGATTCCTATATTATATTGAATCATTTCACATTTCTATCAATTCTCTTGTAAAAGGGTTTTCATGTTCGAATTGACTATTTTCGATTTCAGATATAATAAAACAATTATTTTTGTGCTGTGTTGTGTATTTAATGATAAATTCGTATCAGAAATATTAATGGTTGAACTTTTCGAAGCATATACAAGTAATACCTATACAGAATTAGTATACTTAAGCTTTTCGTTCTTATCGGGATATCTGATTACATTATAGCATAATCGCTCGTAGATAAGTTTTTTCATTAATTGATTTTTATTCTGTATTTTTCTTAAATTTATTGACGCTTGGTAGTTTTCTGATAACAAAGTACATCTATATGCTTTCATTTAAGATGATAAAACTGGATTTATTCCAAACCAGTTGTAGCTTTTTTAAAAACAAAATTCTAAAGGCCTTCTTTGAAAACCCGTTATTAGTTGGCAGGCAAACAATTAAAAGTGACCCTCTCGTTTTAACACTCACTTCCAAAGCTGGTAATTTGCATCGTGTAACCTGTTCGAGAGTTTCGGGACGTTCTTTCACTCTGTTTTCGTTAGCATGACGCAAGAACGATGGACGGCCATGGTTATTGTGATATATAATATAACGATGACCTCATGTGTAGGCGTTTGTTACACACATAGTGGGGGACTGCGACATGCGATGCTTCCTTTGTGAAGATCGTTAATTTTGTTACTCAGGAATTGACAGATCCCCTTGAGCGTAATCTCAGTCTCGTCTGTTTGTTGAGTACAATTCTATTTTGATGGAATGAATTTTAGTCATGCGAATTGTCGATATTTGGTATTATTTGGCGTGAACTTAAATAATCCATTATTTTCATCAAATACTGAAGCAATTCATTTCTTATTGTAATTTAATTAATTACTAGTACCAAATCTAGTGGTAAATATGTTCCTTAAAATGAAGTTACTAATATCATCAGGTGGATGTAAAATGTTAATTAACGGACTAAAATTACTTGATATGTCTTTCAAAGTTACGTTTGTCTTTGTAAAAGGCTATCAATTTCATTTATTTTTTCTTCATAACATAATTAATAGAACAATTAAATTTATTTGTTCTTACTACAGATAATTCTATTACAATAGCAAGCAGTGACACTTAATACACGAAACTTGACAGGAAAGGATGATAAAATATATGAAAGCTCGATAAGATTAGGTTTCAACTCCATTGATATATAACGCACAATGTACAGTCAGTCAGTCAGTACACAACTGTGTATATCAGTGTATAAGTCATAATATAAAACCTACTAAGTGTTTGCGCCGCAGTTAGTCACTCGACAGACAGCATCGTGGTAGGATCGCTGATAAGCTGTGTTTACAACTTTATAGCAACAAACACTGGAATCAGTTTAAAAACATTTCGAGTCGAGCTTTCTCCTAATTTACGATTACGTTCCACGAAAAAGTTAAATAAATTCGAAACGAATAAACCAATGAATAAATTTCAATCAGTGTTCCCAAAGTTTACATGACTAAAATTCTTCAGTTCTTTTAAATAAACGTCATAATGGATTCATGGACAGTGGCTCTAGCATCGGTCGTCGTTGTAGTGACTTGGTTCTACTTTAAAAGGACCTATAATTTCTTCAATGGCCGAGGAATTCCGCAAACACCAGCCAGCAGAGGGCTTACAAACTTTCTGAAAATCTTTTTTCAACGAATGTCTTTCAACGAGACAGTTTTGGATGTCTACAACGTTCAACCTGACGCGAAGTATGTCGGTTTCTACGATTTGATGACACCTGTGATCGCTATTCGCGACATCGAGCTGATGAAGTCCATCACAGTGAAGCACTTCGAGCACTTCCAAGACCATCGTTCTCTCTTTAACGACGATTCAGATCCTCTGTTCAGCAAGAACCTCTTCGCCCTTCGTGGCGATCGCTGGAGAGAAGTAAGGACCCTGCTGAGTCCTGCGTTCACGTCTAGCAAGATGAAGGCAATGTTCAATCTGATGATAAAATGCGCCAATCGTTACGGGGACATCCTGTGTACGTTGCCCGAGGGTGAGCGAACTTTAGAGCTCAAGGACGCTTTCACCAGGTACACGAACGACGTGATCGCTACTTGCGCTTTCGGAGTAGAAGTGGACTCGATGTCCGACAGGAACAACAAGTTCTATGTGTATGGCAGGGAGGCTACGAACTTTAGTGGTGTGTTGCTGACTTTGAAATTTTTTGCAGTACGATTTAGCCCTTACCTATCGAAGTTATTAGGTATAAGGTTGATAAACATCAAGATCGTGAACTTTTTCAAAGAAATGGTGGCTGACACCATAAAATACAGAGACGAGAATAACATCGTTCGACCAGACATGATTCAGCTGATGATGGAAACTAGGGGAAAACTGGGCCCAGGGAAAGAGCTCACTATCGACGACATGACCGCCCAAGCGTTTGTCTTCTTCTTCGGCGGTTTCGAGAGCACCTCGACCTTGATGTGCTTCGCTGCTTACGAGGTAGGCGTGAACCCCGAGATCCAGAAGAAACTGCAGAAAGAGATTGACGAAGTTTTGGAGAACTGCAAGGGTGAACCGACGTACGACGCGATCAATGACATGAAATATCTCGATGCTATCATTTACGAGGCCCTGAGGATGTATCCAGTCATCGTCGCTGCTGACAGAGTCTGCACAAAAGCCTTCGAGCTGCCACCAGCTTTGCCAGGATTGAAGCCATACGTTATCCAGGAAGGCGAATATATTTGGATACCGATCTACGGGGTTCATTACGATCCCGAACACTTTGAGGAGCCGAACAAATTCAATCCTGAACGGTTTCTCGACGATCCAAAAAAGATCGTCAACTCTGGGACGTTCTTGGGCTTTGGAATTGGGCCGAGGATGTGCATTGGCAACAGATTCGCGCTTCTAGAGACAAAGGTTTTACTTTTCAATATTTTTGCTCGTTGCAACTTGAAGCCTTGCTCTAAGACTCTTATACCGATGGAGTTGAGTAAGAAAGGGTTCCAGATGGCGTCTAAGAACGGATATTGGTTTGATATTGAACCGAGGAAGGACACTCATCCTGTTCTTGTTAGCTGTGTGAGCAGCATCGCCGGTTAAAAATAGATTATTTATATTGTTCCATTTATACGTGACGTAGGTACTTGAATAGGTCGATGTAGGGGCATCTTTTTTTTTTATTTTAATTTTATCATAGAAATTTTATTGATATTTTTTCATATCTTCTTGTTATTCGTCTTCTTTGCCCAATCATCATTAGACTGCGGATCTTATGCATTTATGGCGTTTAATAATACGGAAAACATATAAAAAAATATAGGTACATAATGGATGTAGAATATATTTTATTTATTAATATAATAATTTTGTTTTGAATAAGTACATACACCTTCTGACTATGTTTGCCATATATTTATTACGATCGCTTTGGGTATCATAAATGGTATAAGGGTCATTCCACGCCAAATCGATGACTTGTTTTAGTCGATGTCTTGGATTTTGTTTCAAACGAAATATGTTGTAGTTAAAGTGAAATTGTAGGCAAAAATCGCAATATTCGAAGGCTTATATTTCTCAAACGGTTCCGAAACGAGCAAAATGATGACTTAAACCTCTCTTAATTTTACTTCCACTACAATATATTTCATTTGAAACAAAATCCAAAACATCATCCGAGAGAGATTAATTGTGCTAATCACATGTAATTAATTAAAAATTTCCTTTTGAGATCGATAAGCCACACTATTTTTGTATGCAAATCATATTCTTTGGAGGCTGAAGTAAGGTAAGCGACACACAATTTGATGTTTAATTCATGTGTATATTTATGTATATGTACTACTGGCACTGTGAATATATATAATAACAATTGTATTTAATTTTCTTCCTTAATTAGGTTATTCATTAGTTTATTCATAAATCCACAAATAACCAGAAAATAATTTCTTCCTCGATGAGTAACTGTTACACTAGAACCTCTAACGGCCAACAAAAATACCTGTTGCACATACTGCTGTATCTTTAAAATTTGACAGGAAGCAAGGACAATTCACTTCATCAATACTATATAATTTCTAATTCCAATATTCATCACCAAGAGTTGAAGCAAAGGTATGAACAATTATTGATTAATTTTAAAAAGAATTTCCCAGTGCATGGGTTCGATGAATCCTTAGCCATTTGTGCGATCAATACCATCGGCTTGGTCGTTCCAAAGTTGACAGGGTAAGGGATTAAAATCGAAATCGAGGGAAAGTTCCCCTCCTGGCGGACGGTGAACGCAAACCGCAGTCAAGGGGGTTGAAAGAAAAAAAGAAAACAGAAAAAAAGAATTACTATCTCGCGAGTTCCGTCAGCAGTAATGGACGCATGTTACGTGTCCATTTCAATTATGATCTCTTGAATGGATCGACCTTCTCTGCATGGGTGGCACGTAACACGGACTCGCGCGATGTATAACAGCCTTATAATGTATTCTGCTACGTGATCGGCTGGTATCAAATACGCGTCGCAGCCTTGTGAATGTTGCTTTAATGAGCGCCACGTTCGAATGGCGCCGCGTATACTACGTCGCCGATACGGTTTTCACAAAATAACACGCGACGCGATTGCTTAAACAAGCCACTTTGATGCAATTGACCTACTTCCATCGCGGAGCATTCCTTCGTTGAGGGCACCTCGAGGAATCATGATACGCTCATAAAGGCGATTATGGGGCACCGATATGCAACGTGGCGCCTCTGACAGTCGTGAACGGCAGAGAGGATTCGCTTTGACGTGTTTCACAAGTTCTCTTGACATTGTCGTCGCTATAAGTCTAGCTGATGCAACAGCCACTTATTTTTGATTGCATCCTGAGGCGATGGAAACACGTTACGTAGTCTATGCACTTGTCTCTTATTATTATCATCTCGGTATGAGGTTGGCGAAGAGTGTTGTTTCTGACGAAGGATAGTCCTGGAAAAATTGTTTGGAAAATTTCAGTGATAATCGACTCTATTGCAATCGTATGTTGCGATGAATTGTTCATCGGTGAGAGGAATTAGGTTGAGTAGGTGATATCAATTATGAAAAATAATAGACGAAAAAGGTTTTTAAATGGGTCGGAGGCAGTAGGTTAGGGCAAGGTAGGTGAAGAGTTAGACGAAGAGTATGGTTTATGATAAAAGATATTCGTGGAAAAATTTCAATTTTATTATGGATGCTGTGCAGTGATGATGCAGGCTTCAAATGACATACGACTTGGATGAAGTACAAAAATGTTCGTTCAAAATGAAAATATTTGGCTGCTAGGTTTGGTGTATCAAAATACGTTTGATTTTTAGATTAATTACGATGTAAAGCCTCCGATTTACGGAACCTATCAAATATTACCTTGAAGATCAAAAGCTAAAAATTCAGGAAATATACAAATGATTTATTTTTTCTACAATTATTGACACACAAAATTTTGTAGGAGAATTTCAGTGAGAAATAACAAAAATATAGGAAGTTAATTTACAATTAGATTGTGATATTTGTTCCTTGCCAATTGTATTTGTATTATTATCGTCATATCTGTTCTTTTTGAATTATATTTGCAACGCGTAGAGATGTTCAAAAGTAATCGCAGTCGGATGAATTTAATAACCGAAAAGGAATCTGAGCAGATGCAGATTATTGTTCGGCTTCTGCTGGGCGTTGTTAAAGTCCTCTCATCCGACCCATCAACCCTTAGGTACCCTAGGAAATATCTGGCAAGTTGACCCGATAAAACTACCCCCTTTAATGTAATTCACTCTCCGCCATCGGGTAGGAGATGAGCAAGGGGATCGAACGTAGGTTAGTGATCGAAGGAAGAGCGCGAGGAGCAGGTTTTGGTCAGAATTAATGAACTGAAGATCGCGAGGGTGGATCCTCGCTGTGTATTGTCTTGTCGTGTTTATGGAAAGAAGTGCTAAGCGGGGGTGCAGAAGGGAAAACGAATCTTACTCCCGTTTTCCTTCCTTTTTCAGTACTGCATAACTTATGGCATCTCCTTCAGATTATTGATGAGAGGACACATGATTTGTATTATTGCTGAAGTTAATCTCATTAGTAGAAGTGAAAATTAATTTTTTTGATAACATCAAGTAACGATTATCTTGCCACATATTTTCTGAGATTAGTTGAATACTTAAATGGAGCTCACGGGATATAAAATCATAAATATTGCGCCATTTGACAAATATCAATGTTTTTTATGTAACTTCAACGTGAGCAATATTTGTGGGCAATATCAGCATTAATGCTTTCATTCTGGTGGCGTAACTTTTATGACTGCTGTTTCATAAATAATGTTTCTAACAACTTTAAGGAAACGATAACGTGGGATATTTTGCTTCTATCAAATATCGCTATATGTTGACATAACGAGTTTCTATGTATATATTATCGATTCCTACTTTTACTTTTACACTTAATCTAATTCTCGACCATTATCTGAAACTAAACGCTCGATTGCGCCGATCCAGCGACAAGCAGATCATTTATCATTATTTCTTTTCGAATGTGCAGAGTAAGTTCATAGCTCAACAACTTATCGCGAAGTTTGTAAGTCATGACAAGCTTCAATAACATTGACTGATTATTAGTAATTTGTAACTGGAATTAATTATTCAGAGTGATATGGTCCCTGGCGTACAGTGGCCCAACGAACGATTCATAGTGATAAAGAATCACGCATTCTGCCACGATGGGCGTAAACGAAGGAGAAGTTATCAATAAATCTGTATACGTTATGTGTCATCTGTCGCTCACAGACATCACAAGTACTTTATTATTCACGGAAATAATTTAATCTTAAGTGTTTCCGCGAAAAAGAATGTTGACGATATATTGTTGAAGTGGTTAGAAACAGAGTAACATTAAGTGCAATTATACTTCGAACTTTCTGAACTGTAAGAAAGAAATGTATATTGCATTCGAGAGAAATTTCGAAATAAATTGTGTTTACGAAAAAATATATTCCAATGCTACGTGATTGGATTTTAATTATTAAAAAAATAATTAAATTGAACATATGTATGCTTTTGTAATCCTTGAGTTATATTATTACTAATTTCGGCACCTAAAAAATAACAATTAACATTTTCTTATTTTTGTTCGTCATATGGAAATCTACTTTTTTAAAGCATTTGTGGTACACAAACAATCTTATAAATAATATCAAATTTTTTATCCTTTCAGAAGGAAACTGATAAATTGTATCGATAAATCAATAGTGAATCAATCTCTCAATTTCTTACTTTAATCAATGATTTTTTGGATTAGAAGATAGTGCTATTATGTATCACGCAATTCGCGTAGAAAATGTAACAACATCGTCAGTTGCGCTTCATTTATTAACAATGCTTAATAAGGAGTATCACTTATCGTTTATCAAGGTATTAGTAATTTATGTAGATATCTTTAATCACTTGATGTAGACAATAAGCCTGTTGTTTATTGTCACACAAAATTGCTATCTCGGGGGGGGGGGGGGGGGAATTCACACAGCTTTGTGTAGTACTTGCAGTGTTTCCCAAAGGATTCTGTCATTTTCAAATAAGTAAGAGCAACGGTTTCCAGACGTTTTATTATTGCCTTAAAAATTTTTTTACTTGTAGTGTATTTAGGGTGAAAGAAATATTGTTCAGTTATCAAATTCCATTTATTGTGCAGTTAAACTTGAACTGAAAACACAGAACGTAAATATCGAGCATTATTTATAAACAATCAAATAAAATCAGTTGAAGTAGTCTATTTTGCCAGGTAAGCAAAAAAGCACTATTTAATTCATAAATTAGGTTAAACTGGATATTTGTTCATATGAACTTCTTTTATTTCGTTTTAAACTTTTTGAAAACAAATATCCTGCCCTCAAGTGGGTCAAAAAACAAAAGAAAGTATACAAAACATAGAAAAAGCATTTTCAATTACAGAAAAACACGTTTCATCATCTGTCATTCAAAATCATTCGTCCTTCGCGTACTCCGTGCCATTAACCACCCCAGTGTGAATCGCTTGGTGTGGATTACTTCTAGGCTCGACTTTCACCCAAAAACCATTCTCAGGCGCTATCGCTATCGAGCCTTTGGCTATTTCTAGTTTCTCGTCCGTTTCAGGACAAGGTTTTAAATCGCAGCGAGCGAATAAATGAAAAATCAGGATTTTTATCTCCGTCAACGCGAACCTGTTACCAATACACATTCTTGGCCCAAGTCCAAACGGTATAAACGCTCCCGAAGTCATGATCCTTTTACCATCGTTGACGAATCGATCAGGATCAAAGGTATCTGGATTGTCAAAGTATTTGGGATCACGTTGGATCGCGTAAACAGGGATCCACACGGTTGATCCCGCCTGAAGGGTGAACGGTTTTTCTCCAGGCAGGGCTGGCGGCAGCTCGAAGTCCTTCACGCATACTCTATCCAGAAAATATGCTATCGGTTTCAGCCTCATCGTTTCGTTTATAATAGCATCTATATACTCCATCCCATTTATATCATCGTATGTCATCTGGCCCTGTTTCCTTTCGAGCACCTCGTCGATTTCCTCTTGCAACCTCTTTTGAACATCAGGGTTCACTGCCAGGTAATGAATAACAAAGCACAGCTGATTGGAGACGGTGTCGAAACCGCCGAATAAGAAGGTGAACGCGTGGATCGCTATCTCCTGCATGTTCAGTCCTGTACCATATTGCTTTTTGTTCCTCGTCTCCATCAGAGACTGAAGCATGTCCGATCTCTGAATCCCCTTGTCGTCCCTGGTTTTCACGTTGGACGTTACTACGTCCTCGAAGAATTTCGTGAGCTCCTTCGACATCAATCTGAGACCGAGCCACTTCGATAGCCGGGGCATGGATTTATACATCAATATCGTCACGGCCGATTGGAAGCTGGCGAAGTTCAACGCTTTTCTGCTGTTCACGTACATCAGATTTTCAGGGTCGTTCAGCGAGTCTACGTCCATGCCGAAGACGCAGCTAGCGATCACGTCGTTCGTGAACTTCGATGCCACGTCCTTCAGCTCGACCACGCGTCTCTCTTCTGGTAGCTTAGATAAATATTCGGAGAAGTGGACCGCGTGGCGCGACATCAGCGTGAACATGTTTTTAATTTTGCCGGGGGTGAAAGTTGGCGACAGCATGGCTCTCTGAGCTTTCCACTTCTCACCCTGAATGGAGAACAAACTTTTACCCAGAAGAGGATCCAGTTCTTCGTCGCTGAGAGGTCGATGATCCTGAAACGACTCGAAATTCTTTACGCAAAAGGACTTGATGAGTTCGATATCACGTACGACGATGGCAGGTCGAGTGAACTCGTAGAAGCCGACGTATTTGGCGTCGGGATGGAAGTCGTATATTTGCTGGAGTATCTCCACCATGCTGGATTTTTTGGAGAACACGCCGCCAATGTTACCCACTATTAGCTGAGGCGGAACGTGAACAACTCCATGTTTCTTGAAGTAGTCGCGGTTTCTGATGAGGTAGTAGTAGAAGATGGCGATTAGTGTGGCCAGTATTGATAAGACGAGTGTTAGGTATTCCATTCTGAACTTCGGAGTACTTTCGGAAACGTATTGCTTGCATGCACTGGCTATTGAGAACTGAGGTATACTGAGAAGACTGAGCTCTTGGAAGAGATAGCAGACACAAGTCCCACCGGTCCCTGTAACACCAATGTTGCTTCTAATTCGCACATGCGCGTCGAAGGATTAGCACGCAGTAATGTAACTATAGGATACGACGCATTTTCAATTTTTCTGGATTGCGTCATCTCAACCCAGTATATCTACGTTATACTCGAAACCCCTTAACTCTTTAGTTTTTTCTATATAATCAGCAACCGTGGTAGCCGAGCGTATAACAACTTCCTTTCTACAAAAGGGCATTAATATCGCTTTTTTTACTTATATTTCGAATGTCTATAAGTGGCAAAGTTTGCATACCTGACCTGTGATTAGCGCTAACAGTGCAACTAAATATTAATGTGTTTGTTTTAACTCCCACGTGAGCAGGAATATTTTCTGTAGTACTCTGCATTGAAGGGTTCATTCTGGTGGTGTAACTTTTATGACTACTGTTTCATAAATAATGATTTCAATTGTCACTCAACATTCACCGTGGATCTTATTCATAAATAACAAAAATAACAAATAACAAATAACTTCTGAGTATTTCTCTACAAACTTTCTGTCTCACGAAAAATAGAAAAAGTAGGTCTCTCATGCCGTATTTACTATCAGTACCAACGTATTGAACGGAAACATCTCTGCGAGCCATGACGAGATTACAACTTTAAGGAAACGATAACGTGGGATATTTTGCTTCTATCAAATATCGCTATATGTTGACATAACGAGTTTCTATGTATATGTTATCGATTCCTACTTTTACTTTTACACTTAATCTAATTCCCGACCATTATCTGAAATTAAACGCTCTATTGCGCCGATCCAGCGATAAGCAGATCATTTATCATTATTTCTTTTCGAATATGCAGATTAAGTTCATAGCTCAACAACTTATCGCGAAGTTTGTAAGTCATGACAAGCTTCAATAACATTGACTGATTATTAGTAATTTGTAACTGGAATTAATTATTCAGAGTGATATGGCCCCTGGCGTACAGTGGCCCAACGAACGATTCATAGTGATAAAGAATCACGCATTCTGCCACGATGGGCGTAAACGCGACCAATATTTACAACGACTGAGCGTATTCCGCACGCGTAGAAGTTATCAGTAAAGCTGTACACGTTATGCGTCATCTGTCGTGCACAGGCATCACAAGTACCTTATTATTTACTGAAATAATTTGATCTTAAGTGTTTCCGCGAAAAAGAATGTTGACTCAAAAGAAAGGATTGTGTCATTTTCAAATAAGTAAGAGCAACGATTTTCAAACGTTTTATTATTGCCTTAACAATTTTTTTACTTGTAGTGTATTTAGGGTGAAAGAAATATTGTTCAGTTATCAAATTCCATTTATTGTGCAGTTAAACTTGAACAGCTAAGTACTTAATTCGTATTGATTTTTGTGCTGCAAATAGAAGATCATCATAAAGGTATGTAACAAAAATTTATTTATAGTATAAGAACTCGAAACACTGAACGTAAATATCGAGCATTATTTATGAACTGCCAAATGAAATCGGTTAAAGTAGCCTAATTTGCCAAAGTAACAAAAAAACACTGTTTAATTAAGGATCATTAATTTAATATGTCACGCCATCAATAGATTAATACGACAAATAAATCCTTCCATGAAAAGAACCTCTACTGGATGGGAAATGCGTGCGTTTTCGTTCACCCGTAAAAGCTTTCTAGAAAGCGACGAAAAACGTCATCTCTGGAATGGATAAATCTAGAAAAATACTACGAATACACTTCGCTTCCATTAGCTTAATAATTCTGCAAAACGCTGTCTTCTAAAAATCATCATTGAACACAACGAGCGTATACATTCATTCTCGAAAATTGACGAGTTAATTGTCTGCGAAATAAGTAAGTCTAGTAATAAGATCTTTATGACGTCTCGCACGCTGATTGCAAATGGATTAGAAATCGTTTTCCTCTCCCCCCTTCATCTCATCGTTCGATCAGCCGATACAGTGACTCCATTCAAACGAACCTTGCATTATTTTTTTTTTTTTTTTACTCTCTGGCCGGTGAAATTAGTCCGCAGTCAATTGCCGCCATAGTCCCTGCGGGTTATTTGGATGTCTCTCTTAAACGGCGCAGAACGTCGCCTCAGATCCAGGATATTGCGAACGATGGGATCAACGTACGGAAACAAAGCCGGGCACTTAGCGGCAAATTAGCAATGGTTTGGGGCGCCACTGTCGCTCTTCATTACACCGACACCCTCGCACGCCCACCCCCCGACATCCCCTACTCTTCTGGCTAACCCTCTTAATATCCTGCAGACAATGCAACCGCCTATCCTCCTGCCTACATCGACGAATTAAATCTCCGCTATGACGAAAAATCCCCTCGAACACTCTGTAATCACTTAATTATTTTCCCGACAAGTTTCCACCCCTACTCTCTCCAGTTTTTTTTCTCTATGGGAATCACGTTACCATCCACTCGAACGACAGAATCTAATTTTAAATCGAACGATCTCGTTACTCTCTTTATAGCTTGGTCGCAACGAACTGAGCTTTGTATGCAATGGCTGCATTCATGGACGGAGTGATTAATTATGATGCTTCTTTTGTTAGCGGGTGGATAAATTCTTGGGTTGACGCGAGCTTGCACTGGTTGACCCAGAGAGATTTAGGCTTTTTATGGGAAATGAACGTGAGTAGTGGAAGTATTGTTTTTCTTTTTTTTTTTCTTTTTTTTTTTTACTTATTTGGAAGAGATATGAATAATTTCTTTTTCTAGAGATAGTTTTCAGGAATTAGGTCTTCCGGTTCGTGACTTAGTAATTAATACATTCGTGACCGCTTGCGTGAATTCACGTCACTTGCATCGCAAGGCGAAAGATGATTCAGTGACTTACAGCATGCAAAGTTCTCGGGAGCACAAATGTAAGAAATGATGACCATCGACAGAAACCTGTCAAATTATACTAGCATACTAAACCACGTTTTAGGATAGAGCAATTTAAGGGAAGAAGGCAAATTTTCTATCGAGTTCATTATTAAAAGAAAAAAATTGTTGAATGTAGCTATGATTATCACGCGTCCAAGGTGACTTTCCTCTTTAAAAATACACCATTCGAGCCAATGATTGGTCCAGATCACGTGCAACGTACGATACATCGTCGGAACAAAATGTCGTCGGTAATGGAAGAAGCGGTTTCACTTGACGCCGGCCGACGATCACCTTTACATTTTACATCGACATCGTCACGATTTATTTCCAATTTCCGAGCTAGCGGGGCGGCTGCACAGACATGGCTTTCCTGTCTCGGAAATTGAAGGAAACCGAAGAATAAGGGGTCGAAGGTAGGAGGAGCGGCTTCGTAGCGGGAACGAAGGTACCAGGTACCGAAAGTGGGATGAAGGGCGCCAAGGGAGGCAGAAAGTAGGAAGGCTCGTGTAACAGACTCCATTGTTAAAGCTTATTCAGAATCTGCCAATAGCCTGGGATTCAATTTGACTGGCAAACCATTAACGCCATTTAATATACAGTAGGTGAGAGAGCGTCGGGGAATACCTTGGCGTTTCTGTTGTCGGATGAGGACACGCAAAAAATTAACGGGGCGGGAATACTTCCGTGAAACTCGATATTAGTCGATAGACGGCCGCGATGCTTTTCCTTCCATCGACTTGATTGATCAGTCCGTTAATTACTGTAGGATCAACGAAAGGTTTCGCGCACGTTTCTCGATAGCTGCCCGAGGGAGGGTAGTACAAAAATAGCAAACAGGTTAATTTACATGAATTTTGTGAGAGCACAGAAAGATAGCAGATGGTAGGTATTTCGAAAGGAAAAAGATAATATTACTGGTGACACGTAATTCTCTGATTAGACTTGGGGTATCGAAGAAATTAATGGTAGTGTTTAACCCTTAGAAGCTTGATTTTCCAAATTAAATTTAAAACAATATCAATGTATTTATTATTTGAACAGTTTTGACAGCTGATGTTTATTTTTTTAACTTTTGTTCGAAAAAACATTGTGCAATGGTAACATACATACAGCCAAATATTAAAAACAAGCAAATCGCAAGTGTACTTAGGGGACTTAATGATTAAAGACTTGTACGATATAGTAGTATAAAATGATGAATATTTTATCTAAAATATTTTGTATAAAATGATGAGGATTTTATTGCACAAATACAGGTACTTTAGGTATTTCAAACTCTATTTAATCCTCTATTATACAATATATATTACATGTCTATATGTATCCATGACATAATATATGTAGATATATCTAATTTTATCTGTACAACAATTTTACTATAAATATATCAAGTGTTTTGCAAAAGGGGTCTTTATTTTATGTAATTTTATGTTATTGTATGCATTGCATTAAAAGAAGTTGTTATTGTTTTTAAACGTAAGTGTCATTGTTTTGCAACGATTCAATAAAGAATGGCACGTGAAAATCATAGAATTTAAGCATTGTAAAGAATTACCTTATTGAATTAACTTTTTTCTTTAAACTTTTGTAGTCGTTGCCTCTTATTTCATAGAGACTTTACCTGTTCAACGAATGATCTCTATGCGCGAGAATGCAGCATGCTGCAAACGGTTTGCTTTCAATTATTATTCACGATATTGTATTCTCCTTGAACGTACGTCTGTCTAGGTATCACGTGATCGCGCAATCATAAATACCGCGATGCGTCTGATTTTATGGAAAAAATTAAACGTCTACGGCTCGAGATGCTGCGTCTTTAAATGGAGAAGGAATACTGTATTCTGAATAATTTGTACGTGTCTGTGCATTGTATCGACAAATAATGAATGCCGAACGAACGTAATTTATTCATTTGTATGTCTCCCAGACGGCAGAGAAATAAGTCGCGGGGATCATCAATGATCGAGGGAAATGCACCACTTGAAAATTAATCGGCCGTTTAAATTCAACGATATCGATAACACTTTTAACTATTCTCTTGTTCATTGTTACGTTTATTCTCTGGAATCAATATTATTTTATGAAGGAAATAATATTTCGAAAATATCAACGCTTTAAATATAAAAAGCTGTTGCAAGTTCGCATTACTTGCTGTGTTAGTTGACACGTTCAAATTGGCCATTAACTCTTGTTGTTCTACGTCATTGACTAAGGCTGTTATTGCTTCTTTTGTGTATAGATAAATGTTTATTCCGTGATTATGTTTTTGTTGGACCAACACACAATATTCACCGTTCCGTTTATTTATTAATTTCATATTTGTTCCATGCTATAAAAGATGATTTAACATTTGTCAAATCTTAGTGCATAACGTTCCAAGTACCTCAATTTAAAATAATTTAATATTTTTTCATTAACTATGATCTATTTTGATAAATACCTGTAATGAGACCATTTCGTGGAAAGTTGGCGTGGATTCGCGACTTACCTGAAACAAGAAAGAAAATTTGTGTTATACTTGGATTATCACATAAATTGAGAATATTACTTTCCATTAGGAATAATTTGCAACCATTTCGATACTATATGTATGCATCACTATTTTTGATCTTTTGGCTTGTACACCAATATTGGTTTAATCTTTTGAGAGAAATTGACACATATGTGTACGTTTGTATTTATATAAAAATTATTTAAAGTTAGACAGCATATTTGTATGCTAAAAAATATTTACAGATACAAATTTCTCTGGTTTGTGTATATCCAATTAAATCAAAAAGAAAATATTCATTTCAAATTCATCTCTGAAACGGTTAAAAGTCTATAACCTGTTTATTCTGTTATTATTTTTGTTATTATTATTTAAAATGGTAACAATTGGTACAAGCTTCCGAGGGCAAGGTAAAAGATGATTCAGACACTTATAACACGCAGTTCTCATCTAGAAAGACTCAAAAACGTTTCCTCCTGAGTTTTTCTTATACATAGGTAGTGCTTGAAACGTCAACACCAGGTTACCCAATCCGTAATAAAACAAAAACAACGTTTCTTCCCTAACAAAGATTCACTCTATCGTCCCCGTCAGAAGTCTCCGTATCACCGGGAATCCGGGGTGTGACGAAAAGAAAGCGGGAAAAATTCCGCTGAAATATTAAATACACGCGGCCAGCAGTTTCACAGGAGCGTGGCAAAAATTGCCAAGTTTCACCGAGGATTCTTTACAAAGCCTGACTTATTTAGCCCGAAGCTGCTCGTGCTTTTGGCGGGGGAGGGGACGCGGCTTTCCCGCAACCCCTTCCGACCCCGCCAACCTACTTTCACCCCCGACGATTCGCGATTCGGCTAGGCGCGAAGGGACAGGAGGTGGGAAAGCCTCGGATGGTTGCAGGAGCGCGGTGAAAGGACGAAATGCTCCTTTGTCGGCGCCCTCCGCACCGCGGAACTTTATTAATTGCGCGTTTTGTTATGCAGATTCCTGCAGAGCGAGACCCGACCCAGCCTCCTCTTCCTTTCTTCTGTCTTCGGCAGCCTACCGAGGCGAGGTCTCGAGCGACTCGAGCCGGTGACTCGTGTGTCCAGGACCTTTAAAAGATTACTCTCGAATTCGTCGTCTTCAATTAGACCTGAAACTTTTCCCTATTTACACGCTCAACTTCGACGCCTCGCGCGGGAGATCTGCCACCGGCGCTGATGAAAGATGAATTTGCCTTTTCACGGTGGGACATAATACCTCCGCGGAGTTTCGAATCGGCGCCGGATCGTTTATGGTTCGTGGCGACTCTTGGGCGAGTTGGGTCGACGATCTTTAAAAGTTCTAGTGCGACTGGGCAGATATGGGTTAACATTTTTTAACCGACTTCGAAAAGGAGGAGGTTACTCAATTCGACATGTATATATATATTTTTTCATCTTTATGCCTGAATTTGGGTTAGTTTAAAACATGTTTCATCTTATGTATACATCGACCATAGTATTTTTTATTTTACGCGTTTATTTAAAATCGTTTTAATAACAGAGATCATTAGCAACTAACTGAAATCACAAATTTTCGTTCAGTCATTATATAGTACAATGTTACGTGTGTTTTTTTCCAGGTTATTTTACTTAAATTAGTCAAAAAATGATCACTTAAGCTGAATTTAGTCCTCTCAATTTGAAATACGTTACAGTCCGTTAGAATATGAGGGATTAGATAATAGAATTGGGGACTTTGCATTACAGACTAGCCATTAAAATATGACATATTAGAAATGTATAAAATGTTTTGATAAATTACATGATTTTGTTTTCATTTGCAGGATAACAAATAATTCCTCTAGATCGTCTCGGTACGCGTTTAAAAAATGATAGAAGTAAGTGATTCGATCATCAAAATGTAATATTAGATAAGTATGTTCATTATTGAAGAATATCAAAGATAAAATCCTGATCAACTCAGAGTACAAACGTTTCCTAGAAATAATGTAATTGTAAAGAGTTCGTTCCCTACAAAAGGCAGGTACGAGTTCAATTAAAAGGGAAACGTTAATTGACGAGTTCAGCTGACTGAATTTACTTCGCTGTAAATTACGAGATTAAGAAGCTAATCACTCAGGTTTGTTAGAGTCTGCTAGAAACAGACACTTTTATTTCAATCGTCAGATTCCTCAAATGCCGATGAGAAGACCAGGGATGTCTCAATCCCGACGGAGATTTAGATCGTCGTATATTATGTCAGCGACACGTTTTAAGAAGCGAAGAGCGAGGAAAGGAATCCAGGCTTTGTTGAGAAACTTTGCTCTTGGGAATTCTAGTCCTGGAAGGAGACGGCGCCTAGCAGCTTTTAATTTCGTGCTAAAAAAGGAGAGATCCTCGCGTCTTCCAGCGCCTATTCATGGAAATTGAACGTTACTCTCACACCAACGAGACGTTTCCCTTGATTTACCGGCAACTCTGGTGAAGAAACGAAACAACGAACACCGCGAAGCCGGAAAATCACTGAAGTTTAAGAGGCGAACTATTTTCATTAAATATTTGTCCTGAACTCTAGCGAAAAGATACTCTTCTTTAAGCAAAAATTATGATTTTATGCTGACCATATTAATATGTTATCTTTGACTGCAAATAATGAAACCGTAAATCAGTTCATAGAAAAACAGGTTATTAAATAAATTCAGAGAATATTGGGGTGAATTAAACTAGATAAAACTTTTGGTGGTCAATTTAATAAAACTCATAGCTGAGCTAGTTAATGAAATAATTTTAGGGATACATTCTTTTGTATAACATTGATTCGGTAAATTTAGTTGTAATATTTGTTAGGTCTCAAAATAATTCTAAATCAAAGAGTTATTTTAATAGTATGTTATATAAGCCTCGTGTATTTTTTATTTTTAATGGAATATTTATTCTAATGGTTATATTCCAACTTGGTAGATTTATTTTGCTGGCAGGTGGCTACTACAAAATTTATTAGTTTATAAGTTATATTAAATTAATCTAAAGGCGACAAAAATGAAAGAATACACTATACCTACCAGAAGAATTGTTATGACTACATCAATTGAACCTAAATAGAAATTTATTTTATTCTCCAAATATTATAACATGAACTTTACTTTCAATCTTTTTTATATTCTTGCATATTGTTTGCATTTTGTACATTCAAATTTCCTATAAGATCCGCAGTCTAGTTATGACATGTACATATATATATATATATAATATGTACATATGAATGAATGAACAGTTGGTAACTCAGTGCATATCACAGATTTTGATTTCTGTCATATTTCACGTTAATCGATTCAGCTAAGAAAACTATATAAATAATTAATTATCAGCAATAAAATGAATATCTATAATCCAATATGTTACCTATTGCTTCAGTTGCCACATAAAATACTCAATACAATTGCAGCACTTTCAATAAATACGCAATTATTTAACACGGTCGATCGAGAGTTCATCTCGAATGTAAACAACACCCTCATCGATTCTCGAAGAGGATTATCACTAACACAGCGAGAGCCAGGCAGGAGGACAGTTCGTCCCGGTGTCTTTCTTTTCATTAAAAGCCCTGGTGAACTTTTGAATGAAAATTCGCTTCAAGGACGCTCGAATTGAATTGCTCGCGCCTCCAGGCCGGTATCACGCTGCTTTCCTCTCTTTCTCTCGCTCCCGGTTCGTGCAATCCGAAAGTTTTCCCGCGCAAAATGCGAGCCGCATTATTTATCAAACGGGAGCAGCTAGTCGGCCGGGATTTTAACGTGGGCGCTATCCTGCCTGCTGCCGTCTCGTTCTCCAAGGTAAACAGTTTTCAGTTCTCGGTCGGCGAAGAGTCTGGCTGCTTAATATTTCAGACGACCCCGAGCTAACTTCATGCATACTTATGTGGCAACGCGTGACTCCCCGCACGAGATAACCCCCCTCGGCAATATTCTACGCTAGATTTGGCCAGATTTCGGAATTGCCAATTTTTATATTGTTTTCCTTTCATTTGCCACCCCCGCGTGCCCGGGGACACTCGCTTTTAAGGGGCGGTCTTTTATTTTAGGGTCAAATAAATTAATTATTTGTTGATAGTCTGGTTGCTGGAGATCTTTTAAACAATTTTACTGAATTACTGGATCTAAAATTAATTCTATAGTACTCAGTTGTGTAATTAAAAATTGTCTAATTTTTCGTGGATATTTTCGAGAAGAAAGAATTTCCACAACCACAATGCACGAGCAATTAAAATTACGTTCAACTTCTTTATTTGCAAATGGTAGAACATATGAAAGAATTCACACAGGAGAGGAATTGTTAATTTATAAACTACGATCGATAACTTATTAATAAACACACACATTTTACGAAACACCCGCCAGTGTTATAGTTCGAAATTCGATCGTACGATTTCTCGCTTCTTTTTCGCAGCACAAAGGAATTGAAAAAGCGGGCGAGGTGATATTTTGTAGGGTGAAATTGTAAAAGCAGCGTTTAGCGAATGCACGGAATATTGATTCGTGCGCGTGAATTAGTCGCTTTGACATAGCCAACGCTGTTTAACTTCGTCGGCGGAATTTATTGAAATATTGTATGGTACTCTGCTGACTGCTGGGAAAGCGTTAGAGTAAGTGCTTTAAATGTAGCATTATATTCTACCAGTATCCCGTGGATTTCGTATTTTCCTGTGAACTATATTGCGAAGAATGCAGTGAACTAAATAATTGAAAAAAAGAAAGAAAAACACTTTGTATTCACTCGACAAGGAATATCGCATGAAAACGCTGAATTTGTTGAGAAGCATAATGAAAACTCTTTGATCAGTAAAAGTGAAGTCTGTTCCCTGTAAATGACAAGCAAAACGTTCTTTGAAAATTGGTTAAAGACAATTTTTTTCTCTTTCGTTAACGGTTCCTCTTTGTTACAACGGTTATTGTACAAAGTGTCCAGTGTTATGCGAAGCAAGTTGCTTTAACGAACGCAGCTTTAATTAGCTTTAAATTGAGAAAGATGGAAGTT